ATTAGCGTGCTCATCGCGGCTCACATGCACACGATAAGTTTTCACGCCATTTTGCCATTCTGGATGCACTAAACTCTGCAAGTATAAACGCGTGTCGCAATCCCACGCACGCGTGCGTGCACGATACACGCTGTTAACCATTCCCTGCGCCGAATAAGCCCATACGGCGTGAGCCATTCTCGCGCGTTGCCACAAAGGGTCCTCGGACAATGACGAATGAATCGCAACACACTACCGAGGGATAATACTACTCGTCTCGTGGTCCGATCTCGGTGAACAGCGCACCCACGTATACATAGACCAGGCTACTTCCCTCCATTCTTTTCTGGAGTTTCTTGCGCGCCGTCCCACGCTCTGACAATTGAAAATCGTCCACGACTGGAGGAACGATCGAAATCGAGACAAACGATTCGGCTGTGTCTCCTGACCTACGCTAATGTTGCGTATTTGTTTCGTTGCGAAAATTCCAAGGGGAGTAACTATCTGGTATTTGTTCCTGTTCCTCTTCAAGGGGTAAGGTAACGTTTGCGAAGTTCCAAAAAGTAAGTACAGTCGTACATGGATTTCTAGATCAACCTTCAGAGATTCTTTTTGAACTGTTACAAGTAGTTGCTTCGACGATATGGTTGATTAGATCTTTATGAGTACGGACTCGAGAGGGAATTCTTAGTTGCCAGTGATAACTTCTATACGTCAGTCGCCTCGAAGATGCATCGATAAAGTAAAGAAGGAAGGAGAGAAACGTAACGATGTTCCAAGTATTATTTTTTAACGTTTTCCTTGAAATAGAATCGTGAGATTTATAAAAAAAAAAAGAGGTAATCGATTTGATTTCTGAAAAGATCGCATATAAGCACAGATTTTGTTCGATACCTTCAATAAAAATTCGCTAACTAAAGATACGAAATATATTTAATGGAAGTAAACACATTAGCCTTGAAAAGCGTTTAATTAGTCGACGGAGAACACGGGCGAGCTGCGACATTTGCATGTCTGGGTAGCTTAAAAATTGAATTTCCTACGGCGCCTGGTCTTTCGTCGTTTCCGTTCCTTCTTTTTCTCTTTATTGACATACTTTCCGGCCTGCTGACTTGGACCGTCTTGTCGAGAGACGAGGCAACCTACGAGGGAAAAAGAGGGTCTACCCCGGCTGCGGGTGCATAGATACAGCACGAGAGTAGAGACGAGAGATATCTCTACGTATTGATTTCGTCTCGAGCATTAAATCCGAATAGGCCGGAACCGGTGGAGTGGTTCAGGTGAAACCGAGAACTCCGGTGCCACTTCAGCCGGCGAGGTGCTCGGTTGCAAATTAAATTGTAGTCGAACTCGGAAAGGCAACTGCGAGTAGGCCAATGCAATTGGCTTGAGACCGACCGTACTATTATGCAAGCTAATGTCATCGCGCGTTTGCGTCACGTAGCCATTGTAGGCGATACGACATTTTGCTGAACGCACCATACTAATAACAGCGAATCGTCGCAACGAACAATCTCTAGATCCTGTGCTTATTAAGCATCGGACGAAAAATCGAAATTTACGACTCGGGTTATGGTTATAATAGATGCGCGTTCTGACGAATGAAACACCCGAAGACCAAAGTGTATATACTCGCAAGGACTCGTATTAGGACATCGATTCGCCTCATGGAAAAACGTAATATGATCAAACTACATCGAAGAAAGAATTGATCGCTGAAAATGACGAGTTCACGCAAGATAGAAATTCAGAATACGTAGACGAAATTTATGGCAACTCTCGATGAATCTTGATTTATAATCAATGAAATTTTCGTTATAACGTAAACTAATAAAGATGTTTTATATCGCAAGCTTTCGAACGAAATAAAGATGTCACAGGCTTTAATAAGCTCTCACCGATTTTTCTCACTGACTTTTTATTTCTTGTAAATCGTTATCGTAAATGATATTTTCGTGGGAACACGGATCCGCTGTAACGAGTCACCGTTAAAACGAAAAATCGAAAATTTTCAATTAGATCGTGCGTAAAGCAAATGGAAGGTAGGTAAAGCGTTCGGTTATAAAGAGCCAGATAAGAGAATCGTTCGAGCGGGTCGAATTAAACGGAGGAACTTAAATTACGTTAGCGATGATCATGCTTAATTCAGCGTGAGCGTGGACCGTCTCGGACACGCTTTATTTGGCGCGTCAATTAATCAACCGAGCCACGGGGGATGTTTTTGCGCGCACTCTTGGCAAATATTTGTGTTTCACCGTTACTCATCGCAAAAAATACAACGGCGCTAATTTACTCGGTCGAAACTGCGCTCGGTGTGTGCATCCGCGCAGCGCGCCACGCCATACCCGATCCGATGGCAATGCATTCTTGTTTCGAAGGTAGAAATCTCGCGGGTCGGAAAGTGGAGCAGCGGAACGAGGCGGCGCACGCGAGTCCTGATGCTTCCACCTAGGCACCTCCTGGGCTGGGGTCGCACAGGGAGTAACGAAAGAAGCGAAAGAAACCAAGGGGAGAAGAGTGGAATTATGTAAATAGGAAAGGGAAGGGTAGTAGTAATAACGAAAAGAATCCAAGAAAAGATTCTGTATCCGTGTGTTCGTGACCTATTCTTTTCGACTTCTTCGCTATGCGATAGGGGAAATAAAAAGGACGCTGAAAGGGTCGCTTGATGAATGAAACTAGAACGTATACATGTACACTAGATCGTGTGTAGTACGTTACATGCACTAGATCTAGGGTGGTTATACGGAGCAAGTAGATTCTCGATGGTAGGGAAACGCGATAGGATGTGTTTTAATTTCGTCGAGATTTCCATGTGGAGTTTTTGGAGCGAGAGCGAGCTTCTTGTGTTCGCGAGCGAGAGACGTCTAGCTGGTATTTTCGTGCAAAGATCGGTCGGACTGGAGTAGTGCCGATGTTTGTTTCAGAAAGATAATGGCGAAGACGAATAAAAAAAAGGTGATGTACAGGAGAACCGATGCTTTAAGAAGTTGCATTTAAGCTTTACAGTTTCTCGTCGTTGTCTACGAAACGTTGTCCGGAGAAACGTTGTCCGCTTCGACGCATAAAGCTTTCCACGGCTATGGAACGCTATTATTTCTATCCGAACTGTACGCTTTGCCAGAGGATTTACGCTGTTCCGACGAGGAAATAGCAGTCTTTTTTTTTTTAATTTGAGAGGGGTGGAACGAAGAGTCCGGCTACCGCGTGATTTATTATATCTTGGATAAACACGACGAATAAAGATCCATGTAAATACCTGGCAAGATCCATTTATCGATTCGACGACCGCGTGTACACGGCTGGCGAATCGCTCGCTCATGCACGAGGCGAGGCTTGTTCGTCGGATAAAAAGGCAAAGGAAAAGGGCGGATTGCTTTATAAGTGATTACACGATAGGCAATAGATAGGAAGGATGGCCGGTTGGAAAACGTATTTGCGTGGTTTCGCTATCCCGATGCTGTAACCACGGCAAGCGCCCACAAGAAAGTTATTAAAGTTCAACGCACGTGTTGAGTGTTCGAAAAAGGGAACACCGCGAATAATCGTTCGCTTCGATAAAACGACTTGCCCCCGTAACTTCTTCGCCGCGAACGGCCAAGATTCTCTATTATTGCATCACGGCGAACGATCTAGACGTTAAAGAGATTGAACCAACGATTCGAAGACTAACTAAATCATATTCGATATTTATAACGATCCTAGAACCTGCTACGAACCTTTTCAATTTGAAATTTAGAATTAAACGTTCGAACGTATAAGGTTGGAAATTTGAATTCGAATATTCGAAATGTGCCGATATAAGGTCCGACCTATATATACGATTTGAAGTAGTAACGTTCGAACGAGACTGCGTATGAAACGAAACCGCAGCAGAGTCAGGTGTGTCCCGCGTGTTCGATGGGCGAAAACAATTGGACCAGAGGCCATCATGTGAACAGAACCTTAGGTTCCATGGCAGCACCTGGTTGTGAACGCGCCAGACCAGCCAGAGCCGGCCAGACGGTTTGTTCTGTCAATCCCCACCATCGTCGGTGCTACCGGGCTCCTCCACTGCACCACCACCACCACCACCACCACCACCACCATC